TGGTTTTTAGGAGTCTCAGCCCCACCTATCTGATTAATTACCATATCCTCTAATTCTACTTTTCTCCATAAAAAACATCCAACTGCCTCATAACCTTCTCTTCCATCTTTACTTCAATGCCCTTATTGGTTTTATTGCTCCACCTCTTATGTCACGCAGGTGCTCAAAGGAGTACAAAATTTTTATTCCAAATAAATTAGAATTTTATTGCTGTTACCAGTGCTGGGATGTCCTGCAGGTAATATTGTCTTCCACCTAACTATTAGTGAAAAATAGGTCAGGATCACAAACACAGTATTTGTGTAAGCAGATACTTTGTGTAACCTGCATAAGTAGATTTGTCCCTGTTAGACCACATTCATGCCTTGGAAAAAGGAACAATAACATATTGTCAGGCACTGCAAAAGCCAGGTGTTCATTCATACAGGATCAGCCAATTAGTCACCAGTGGCATCACAAGTGGCTCTGCAAGACAGCGGTGGTTGTGCCCTTCACCTAATCAGTCACCTGTGACCTCGCTATCCAGCCAGTTTTTCACCCAGTGAAGAACACAGGACACAATTTAATACACTCTGGATGGCCTGTAGCCCTCGTGCTTTCATGCAGACAAAGGCCAGAGTCATCACACCACAGCAAGTGAATTCATCCATCCTCATCTGGTCACGAGTACTGAACGCTTACGGACTGGCCACAACTAATGACTGCATTGCCTCTCAAGCGTTGTTGCAGTAACTCCCAGAATAAACTTCTCCATGAATTTACCAGGCACAGAAGAGAGACTGTTATCACCAGGCTCTTCCTTCTTGAACACAGGTCACCTTCTCACGGCCTGGGACCTCCCCAGCCTCCCACAAAACAGTTCAGGCAGGCACTGCTCATGTTAATGGTCATGTCAATCAAGTAACTTGGGGTCTTTAATGCACATCTACACTTTACCCCTGGTTCTGTTTGGCTACCGGTCTGCCACCTCTCTCCTCAGCAATGATCAGCCAGATGCTCTTTCCATGAGTCAGAGAGAGCCATGGCTCCTTGCCTTGAAGAGAGGATGGAAAAGCAACCTGAGTGCAGGGAATACAAGAAAACTCCCTCACTGTCAGCACCAAGAGAGAGCACTCACAGGAGCTCTTCTTGGCTAGTGATGATCCTGCTGTGCGTGGTGTGTGAGTGACTTCAGGTCGCTCACCAGCAGTAGACACAAAAATTATATCCTGCAAAAAAGTGTAAATCCCCTCACATCTTTTTTGGTCTAGATTCAAGCTAGTCCTGGCTGTGGGTCAGATATTTTAGCACAGCTCTTTCATCTCAGTCTTCCTTCCAGGCATAATACTCTGCATTCAGACTCCACACCTTCTCCCTGGCTGCCACCTCACTAAGCCTATCTGCTCTCAGTTTCACTCTTTCGAGGACACAATGATCAGCAGGTGAGAGAAAAACCACAAACATTTGGCATGGGAATTTTTAAATTGTGTCATGTCACTTTTAGAAAGAACAAGAGATCTACAGTCTTCATTAACTGAAGACTTTTGAGGATGCTGCACCCCTGGGCTAGACCTTCTTGGCATTTTAGAGGTCAACCAGCACCTCAGTCTTCAGATTATCTTATTTGCATGTGACAAAGGATAAACTTCTCTTCTGAGCCCTAAATCTTCTCACAGATAGAGGTTCATTTTCTCCATGTATCCCATCAGGAAACACATCCCTTCCTCCCATGTTGAGTAGGGGAGAAAAATGTCCTCAAATTTATGACAGTGATCCCACATTCAAGAGCATAAGAAAAATAAGTTTGGCTGCATTAGCTCTTGCAAGGCAATGATTTTGCAAGAGCAAAATCCTGTGATGGAGGACAAGAAACTCAGTACTGCCTGTCATATCACCAAACAACAAAACTGAACCTCCTTTGAAATACAGCAGGTTAAACTGATTTCTCAAAATAATTAGGTTCTTCACCATATGAAAACCATTTTAATTGAAGAGAATTGAATTCAGTTCTTTCACCAAGTGTATTCTTTTGTTTGTTAAGCTGGACTCACAGGCATGTCAGCATACCTCTCCTGCAAATTTCATTTTGATCCATCCCTATGCATGCCTAGAAAGAAACCCCAGTCACAATTATGCTAATTCATTAGGACATCACACAGAGATTATCTTCACTTTCTTGGAAAAAAATGAAAAATAAAACCTTTGTCCTTGGTAATTTTGTACATGAACATAAAGCAAATGATGAATTAGAAGGGCTACACAGATAGACCCACCCAGCTGCAAAGAGTTCCTTCTGCCATTCACAGCCCAAGGATGATAATTTTCTGCCATATCTCTTAGCTGGTGAAAGGAACATACTTGGTTTTATACCACAATTTCTCAGTGATGATCTCTCAAGGATGTGGCAGATTCTTTCTTTGATCAGGGCACTGTCAGGCTGACATTATTGCAATCTTGCAGTGAAAGGGGGGTAAGTATAAAATCAACAGAGAGCACAAAACGGAGACTCTCCTCCTAAGCTGAATTTATAAACAGAAAATACATCGCTGTGTGTAAGTTAGCATAGAAAATGGGGTTCATAACTTGGAACACATACTTTCAGATTGGCCACATGAATGTCTTTCTAAGAAATGTGCTACAAACTCAAAATTATGAACTCAACACAGACATTCATGGCTGATGTGCTTTGAGCTTTGTTATGCAGGAGGCAGGACTACAAAATCATAACGGTGTCTTTAAAATCTATAAATACAGAGCTCACCTTGTGATTAAATCATCACACACCTCCATGAGGAAAGGGAGTTATTGTCTCCCCTTTATGGAGTGGGAAATTAGGCACAGCTTTACACCAGTCATAATTATCTTCTCCACCTATGGGCTCATAATGGCTCACTGTGTGGAAAAACTCTGCTTTGCAAGTCATTCGTGAAAAAGACCATGACTCATTTTTAACCTATCCCCATGACAAAACAGCCCTAAATGTGTAGTTGTACACATGCCCTTTCTGATGTCAGCAGGAAAGCTCCAGAGATAGGGATGGAAGGACAAATGCAGCCCCAGTGTGTTTCTAGGGGGCTGGAGAAAGCAAGAGGGTGGCTCTGTCTGTGGACCCTCCACTGTGCTCTGAAGGATGTAGGAGATGTGCTCTCCCCTGAGCTGGGATGACCCCAGGAAGGGCAGGTAGCTCCTGGGCTACAAGGCTTGCAGGCCTTCAGCCCAAGGCATGCTGAGAGGAGCGGTCTGAACATAAGGAGCTGCTTCTCATCATGAGTGTGAATTGCAGAGGGATTTTGTGCTTCACACAGTCACTTCTAAAGAGGGGAATGCTAGCTATATAATTTGTATTTCATATGCCAGGCCTCTGCAGAGACTCTGGATTCTCATCAGAAATGCCTCATAGAAAGAAAGCCTGCAGGGAAGGGCTATTTTACTTGCTTTTGAATTTTAATAGCAGACTATTTTGTACTGTTACCAGGCGCCTTGAAAGCATCTGGATTCTCTAGAGAAAAAGATCCCCAGGAGACATGTTCCATTTGTTTCTTGTGCAATGCTCTGTGGGGGGATGGTGGTCTATAAACTTCAACATGTTCTAAGCCAGGACCGGCCAAAAGTAATTTTAACTGGGTTTCACTTTATCCATGTTAAATGACATTGAAGACTATTGTCTATTTATTGTGGGTCAGGCACAATGAACAGTGTGCTAGGGCAAGGAATATCAAAGAGTTGGTGTGGGACAAGAGGTTTGGGATATTTGGTAGAGGCCTTGAGTTTCTGAATTAGATTTATGATGGAGAGGACTTCAGGCAGGAAGAGATCTAGGGAGTTACAGTACACAGGGCTCTGAGCAGGAGATATCTGGCATTCTCCTGACCTGGAAAGTCTCAAATAGAATCCATCTCGACTCAAGAACAAACCCCTTGAGAACCTTGCTCTTATCTCCTTCCACTATAGGAGGTATGGTCATCCTCCGGAGTGGATCCCTCCTTTCTACATCTCATCATTGCTACTGGAGGATCTGATTTAGGAGGAAGCCAGAGATTGGTTTAATCCCTACATGTCGATGTCTATGTGCAGTGTTCACATGAGCCACACATGTGAGTTTCTGCCAAAGTATGTGAAGTATCAGGGCACTTGTGGAGTTGGGAAAGCAACTGAGCCATGCAGGTCTAGGTATCTGCTTCCCTACAGGCTGAGCAATACACCCCATGTTATCCATGGGGTGTATTGACTTGCAGTTCTATCTGCCTGCCCACACAGATCTGGTCAGTGCATTTGAATTGTTCTGGTGTTCTGCCCATCCTCCAGGACTGTATAGGTGTCTCACAGATTCTGTACTGAACTTACCAGCCTTCTTCCAGATGTCCCAGGACCCCCATAGCCTCTGTACTGCACTAAGTGCTGCCACCTGGGCAATGCAATGAGCCTTACACCTCCACTGACTGAATTCAAATCATGTTGAAGTGGGCATCCAGTCTAAGGCAGTCCCTGGGCCCCCATCATCATCAGTGCAGGCAGTGGTGACATGTTCACCCCATCACTCAGCCACACCAGCTTCTGCGCTGCATCTTCTCCAGCACAGCCACCACAGCATCCTCTCCCCTACAGCCCATGGAGGCCTATACGAAGCCTTCAAGCAGTCTGTCCACCCTTGTCACCCATCAGAGCCAAATGAGAGACCTGTCCCCGGGATTTCTCCCTCAGTGTGTGCCATGGAATGACAGCTCTTGTGTTGGAATGTGACCTCAGGGAGTGAGAACAGCTGCTGAGCTTGTGAAGTGACCATTTCCTTTTTCTACCAACACCTGTGAAGCAGCAAAAGGCATCAGTTCTTTTATGACTGGGAGAACAAATAAGGAATATTAACAGTAACATTGTAGACAAATTCTGCACTACAACTGGAGCAGCAGGAACTCCAACAAGAAGGGTAAACCTGAATCTTTAACAATTGCAAAGCTTTCTCAACTCCACTAAACAGCGTTATCTAATTAATCCTCATCTTCCCCATGGAAGATGAGGGAAAATATATGGGCCCAGAAATAGAAACACAAAAAGGTTAGGTTTAATGTCTCAATCCACCTGGAATATTACAATCAAGTTCAGGACTAGACCTTTGGACCAATTGACTCCAGGCCAGTTCCTAATCCAACCTCAGCTGCAAGCCATTTGCCTGGTGGTGCAGGAAAAACTGCACTGCTTCTGGCTTTATGTGAGTTCTGCTGCTAGCTAGGGGACTGCAGCCTCCAGGGTTGTCTAAGCACCTTTTGCCAAAACTGAATGTAGAGTGGCTTATGCAGTTTTGCTTGATTTACTCGTTCCTTTGATGTGCAAGGATTTAGTGACATGCTTAGCAATACGGTACCATGAGACTCGTTGCATAAAATCAAATCACTGCTGGGGCAGATGCTTCCAGATTTAAAAGTTTGATTGGTACCACACACACGTAGCTGACTAGCTGCAGGCTGTTTCTCCTGAGGCTCAGCCTGTGGGGGCTTTTCAGGGCCCCTTTTAGTCCCAAAACCGCAGTAACAAGGCTTAGAAGTCATCCTTTGAACCTCAAGGTGAATGTTTTAGGTCAGTAGTAGCTGATCTATAACATTCAGTCTGTACCAGTGTCTCTAAAGGGCTGCTTTCAGCTCTGATTCATCAGTAAGTGCCACCCTTCTCCCCTCCCTTCTCCACCCTGCCAGCTGTGGACATAGCCAGGATGACCTAGATACTTGTCACCTCCAGGCTGGATTTTACCTTGATTCACGGTTTTTAAAACAGGACATGAAACAGATGGACAGATCCTAGCTGGTTCACACAGGAACTGCTTTGTGCTCTGGGACATGTCAAGTGCTGTTCAAGGTCTTCTGCTGGTGATGGGCATGCTCCCAAACATTGTTAGACTCTCCCAGTGCCACATCAGTCACCACCTGAGCCTGGGGACAGGGCAGCTTCCAAATCTGTGGATGAAGCATGTGACATTAGTAACATCAGTGGAAATGAGGTATTTGCATGGTTGTTTATGAATATTCCACCTATAGCTGCAGAAGCTTAAATATCTTTCTCAGATTGCCCCTGCCAACCTTCCCCCTAACCTCCCTCCTGTCCTCCCCTCCCCTCCAAGCTACAATGAACTGGGAAGCATCATTCCCAAAAAACCTCTATGAGGAACAATTAGAGCAGGACACCAAAGAAATAATATCCTCTTCTGTCCTTTGTCCAGCTGTGGGACAGAGACTGAGTAACCAGAAATGAAAATGCTGGCTGTTTTAGTTTTTCCATCATGATACACTACAACAGCTCCTCAGGACTGTGATCCTGCATGGTTCAAGCCAATGGGAGCAGAGGGCCCAGGACTGCTTACAAAGGACTCCCCGTATCTGGAGGTTATCAGTGCCTTTGAGATTATAAATTACACTGCAGGTAAAACAAAGGCAACAACCACAACCTCGGTAAGAAACAATGTGTAAGCTTCTAGCCGCTGACAAGAAGCTTGAGATACATTTTCTAGTTTTGCAATATCTGAAAGATTCAAGTGGTCTCGGTATCTCCTCTGCTCTCTTTTTGACAAGAACAAAGTCCTGGACCATGCCCAAGAGCTGCAGGCACTGAAGATTGCTGGTGGGGTTGTAGGTTTGAGAATTTTTTAATGAAAATCCTCCTTGTGAAATATTGTCGTGGAATCTCCTATGAAACTATGAATAAATCAAGCAGAATGTCTCCTAAAGTGTCCTGGCCTTTCCAAGGAACATAGATCATACCTTCCCCACAGAATACCTTTGTACAGATCAGAGACCTGGTTCAGTTAATCATCAGACAAGGCCCATGTGCTCATGCAGAGCTCTCTGCTAGACCACAGCCTGAATCTGCCTCCTTCACAGCACCCCAGTACAGAAATCACCCATTTGGCTGACTCGTGTCAAAACCCCATGCCTTTTCTTTCTTGTTACCTGCTAAGGGTATTCCTGATAACAGAATAATTTATTATTAAGTATTTTTCTTTGTAAAATCACCTATTTTACCCTTTAGTTAACTATGTCACTTATCTGACCCATATTCCACCAAGAACTACTGTGCATTCTAAAACCCATCCATCCATCCATGCTTTTTTCCATCCTGTCTAAAGTATTTATGCTCATATTTAGGTGCCAGTTTCCAGTTATCACAGAAATCCTCCCTCCAGGAACCACCTATCTCTTGGGAGCTCAGTTCTATATCTGAGAGTGTTGTACAGAGCAAGTTGTTGGAGTGTGCTCCAGTTGCTTATATCCGTGAGGGCTCCTGTTGGATTTAATAAGATGGATTTGGAGAGCCAAGTATAAAACAAAAGGCATCAAGTAAATGTGAGAGAAGAAGTATTAAAAATAGGATGGGGATGATGGAGGCGATGAAGCAGGAAAATGCACTCAAGTAGCTCCACACAAAAAGCCGAAGATTTGACTTAAATACAGCATTTGTACATAATCTGCCGGATAAACAAGTAAGTAAAGAGTTATTAAAAGTCATCAGGATGCCTTGGGGCACCCACCCATGAACTGCCTGGTACAGAAGTGGTGCCTGCCCTGGATTCAGAGCAGTCCTTGGCATGTCCTCTGCTGTCATCTAGTGACAAAAGGGAAGAAGTAACCGAAAAAGAAGGAAAATCGAGGTGAAAGAGTGCAATTTGTGCCTTGGAATAAAAAAACTGGGCATTTTGTACACCTGAAGGTCACTATCAGCAGTGAGGTCTCACCTGTACATGAAAAGACACTAGAGATATTTTTAAGATCTCTCCCTCACATTCCAGGGTGGCTCTAACTCCTCAAGGATCGCCTGCAGCCAACAAAGCTCTAATGGGTACATCCAACCATGGAGAATTCAACGTCCAAGCGTGCCATCACAGCCATTCCTGTGGGCATGCACCTAGGCTAATTTAGATGTCTATTTCAGGATGGGGAATCATGGTCCCTAGAGGAATTTATTTGTCTCCCATAGCTATGAAGGGACTGGAACACCTGCATGGCAGCACTCTAGAGTTAGGCAAGTTGACTGCTGCCACTAACTGGGAGGTGACTCTCACCTGGAGAACAGGTCAGAACTTCTCCTGAAACCTTCTTGTTCCTATCCTCATCTTTCTTGATTTTGCAGGGGAAAAAACTCCAGTCAGCCAGCTCACAAAGCAACTGACTTTGAGAAGAGACCATGACCTGGTCTCTTCCTTCACACATAGGAATGAGTTCCTCCAACCTTTTGGAAAAATGTCCTACATGGGCACATGTCCCCTGTATGGACATGCTGGAGGCAGCAAAGAGCATCATCGGCAGCTGGGAGACGTTGAAGGCAGGAGAAGCTATGTGGAGTGAAATGAGGCATGAGAAAAACAAGAGTTGATGGTGCGTACACAGAAGGAGACATCAGAAGGTCAGAGTTCAAATCCCATGTGTGACCTTGACCTTTTGTGTGATTTAGGGCAAGTTGTTTCACCAGTGCAGCCCAGTAAAACAACAGGATACTGGTTTCCTGTGGGAACACTCCAAAGGCATTAAAGTTTGCTGGTACAGAACACCACAGTGATGCTGGGCACAGTAATTGCCTGCAGACACTCCAATTTGAAAGAAAATTCATGTTTCACCAACAAAGAGCTGATTTTCTCTCTCTGCTTTTTAAATATTATGGATGTACAGTGGTTAGAAAACCCTAGGTTTTCTCTTGTCACCAGGCCTGAAGCAACTGAACCTGAATTTTGCCTTTGTTTGCCTTTTCCCCACAGTATTTTCCAGCCATGTTGCAAAAGTGTGTAGGAAACACAGCCAACACTGTCCCGCTCTGCTGGTAACAAGCCCTCTGTTCCTTCTGTATCTCTATGAATCACTCCATTAGGTTCACAGACCTGCCAAAGGATATTTCAGAGATTTCCTTTCAAATCTTGAAAATAAAATATTAAGTACAATCAATCATTCCTCATGACAGCTTCTTTGTCCATGATTTATTTCAATTTATTAGGAACCCTTTCTTTAAAGGCCTCAGTGCATGGGAGAGGACAGATATTAAGGAAAACAAACGACACCACTTCTTGATCCTAACACAAAAACATGGTGTACTTTTCTTTGTTTTCCTGTTAGAGTCACATATTTGAGCCACAGCCATGCCTTGAACAAAGCAGGAGCATTACTGATGCTCAACAAGGATCTGGCATTTAGGGCACCATTCTAAGGGCAGACCAGGATCTCACAGTGGGCAATTTTTCACTCACACAATCAGCAAGCAAAGCTTGACAAGAAGCCATGAAATGATTGAGAAATGCCTTTCTGTGCCAGATGAGGTCCCAATGTGAGCTCTGAAAGAATGAGCTCATGCCAGGAGCTTACACCTCAGGGGGTCTGAAGAGCATGAAGCTCCTTGGGACCAGGCAACACTGGAGACCATACTGGGCATCAGGAGGGACACAGATTCATGCATCCAAATTCCTCCTGCCATCCCGTAAAGTGGGCTTTTATGCTGTCCCACTGGTAGAAGCAAGATGAGGGTGAGGGCAGGGCCAAGGTCTCAGCTTGACCTACTCTTTACCCTTCCTCCACAGCACAAAGCCACATCTTTTTGCTGAGATGGGGTTTTCTTACTGCCAAAGTGATGCTGAAAAGAGTTGGCAATGCACATCATCTTGGAAGGTGCTGCAGGGCTCCCCCCGCCCCAAATGGTAAGTATCTGCTTGGAGAAGACACAGCATACAGCAGCAGAAACAAAAGCAACATTTCACAGCAGCATACGGTACAGGCAGCTCACCTCAGGTAAATATGCCACAGATGAATAATAAAAAGCACCCCGTTTGCTTGGAGCAGAGGCTGTCATGGAAACCCTGGCTGCGAGTGGCATCATTGAGGGGATTCAGTTAGAAATGACAGAAGAAAAGTCGAAGTTTCTTGGGAAGCATCAGAATTCAGAGATTAAACACACCTAGCAGTGCTGAAGTCTGGGCTCAGGAGCTCTTCAGCAGGTTGTGCCCATCCAGCCAGGATGTACTGCTAACATTCAGTGCCTTTCCTGCTGGAGTGGATTTTCCCTGTCAGACTTGTTGAAAGGGTGCAATCCCTGCAGGACAAGAAACATCTCTGTGTGCTAGTACTTAGGCTACCATGGGAGAGATTGTAACTGTGAAAAAGTGGTTGTTGTGAATATCCACCATCAGGTTTGGCAACAGAACCTGAAGAAAAAGAGATAAAAGGGCTCTGTGTGCCCTCCCTCCAAAATGTGATCAAGAAGGTCACGGCCAGTGATGCACTCTGTCCAGACCAGCATCCTTCAGTGCTGAAGGCTCAGGGAATGCTTTCCATTTGATCTGAATTAACACTATTTTTTAAAACAGTTATCTTTTTAAATCTTTTTGCAAATCTGGATTTATCCTTTCCTCACTGAAAGATCACAAATCACAATGCACAATTTGCTCTGTTGCCTCACAGATATGCAAGCACCCTCCTCCTGGCAGTCACTGATGAGTTTTACGTCTTAATTGGCATCCCCCAAACCACTCCAGCATGAGGACAGACAACCTGATAAATGTAAGAAACTGCCCTTCCTTCGGTGCCTTTTCCAGCGTGTTTCCCCTTCCAGACAGCCAGAGCTGTTTTATCACTTTCTCCAAAGGAAAGCTCTGCCGAGTCCCCAAACCTCACAGCAGCAGGGCTCTGTAGATAAGGCAGGGAAAATATTTCACTCGCAAGGAAACTGTGCTCATCTTGCGCTAACGTCCCTGTCCTCTGGAATCCAAGGCAATAATTACAGCAATTTGTAGATAATTATTTGTTAATTAAAAACAGGCTTGCTGGGTACAGTTACCAATTTCCTTCGCTGGCTGTGTAGGGCTGCACAAGGAGACACTGGGGGATTGTCAGTCTCATAAAATCATTTCCTTGTTCTGTTCAGAAAAAAAGTCCCCAGTGGGTCATCTCCCCCCTCTCCCCATATCCTGGCAGGTCTGATTCATTCTCCTAAAACATCCCTAATACAGATTTGTGCCTAGCTTTCCCTTGGTGATTTCCAAGGAAGGTGACTGCTGCATTCCCCCACTGCAGCCTGTTTTCTCAGCTAATTTAATGACCCTTTGCGCACACAGACTCATTTCCAGACACTTTTAAGTGAGTAGCTCCTAAAGGAATCGTGACTCCAAGCTGAGGTTGTGAACCTGAAAGAAGCTCACTTCCATCCCACATTTATGTGAGTAGTAATAAGTAAACAGTGTGGAGATGGAGCTACAGCTGAGGACTAACTGAAGCTGCTGGTTTAAATAGTGCTGTTGGGGCAATTATTCTCCCCTTGACTAGGCAACGTGGGGTTCATGATCACCTCCCAGGCCAGATGTGAGAAGAAGCAATGACAGGTTTTCAGATGTCCCCCACTAAATACTGCATCCACAAGGAGCGTATCTTGGGATGATGGTCCTCATGCCTTGGAATGATGGCCCTCATGAGTATGAGGATTTTTCAATCTTCTAAGTCGTCTGTCTCTGCTTCTGCTGTGAAACACACCATCTCCTGGTTCCACCACATCCTCCAGCCTCCAGGGTCTCCCACAGCTCCAGAACCAGGAGAATTATTTAGCCCTGGAAGCAGGAAAGTCACATTGTTCCTGATCTACTTCTGGATTGAGCTGGGCATTCATTTCAGATGCCCCTTCTTCTGTGGCACTGAGGAAACAGCTCATGGAGATCTGAGAGTTGGCTCTGTGGGTTCTGCACAAAAATAGTACCAGTAGCATCAGTATAAACCCTCATGGAAAGACAAGCCCACAGGGAAGTATCATGAGAGGTGAAAGCAAGCAGTGTCCTCCTCCTGGTTGCAGCAGAGCAGCTTGGAGCCACAGTGACAAGGATGGGACAAAGGAACAACAAGAACGTTTTGTCTTCATGTGGCCAGAGCAGAATGTTTCCATCTCCCTTAGCAAAACAGCAGCATCCATAAGAACAAACCAGTGATAATGGGTAGGGGAAACAAATTAGGCTGTCAATATCCTCTTCATGGAAAAAATCTCAAGACTGTTAGTCACACAGGGCTGCTTCGCCCCTCTAATTTTCTCCTGTACGTGGGCTTTCGTGCTCCTCTCATCACCTTAGCGGCTCAGTGCCTGCACCATGTGCAGAGGAATCACAATTAAGCAAAGTGGCTGGATGTCATGATATATGGGACTACATCTCTGCTTCAGCAGCACAGAAAGCTAACGAAGAGCTGAGATTAAACACTAGGTTAATTAGTACGTTTAATTAGTTCACAGTTATTAAATCCTTTCAGACCCTTAGATAAATTGTTCATAGTACAAAACATTCCTTGGAAATGCTACTGTGTACTCCCCCTTCTCCCTCTCTAGGCAGGTGCAGGGCTGGGAAGCTGTAGCCTTCCTCTTGCTGCTTAATGCAGAAGTAGAGTCTCCATCCAAGCCTCAGTGGCTCAGCATCAGTCCCCAAGACTACCCTTGAATCTTCAAGTCTGCCAATTTGCAAATTCACGGTTCTTCTGAGCAGGCACGAGGCAGTACCCATGCTAACACGGACAACAGTTAGTAGGGAAAGGAATAGCATTAGGAAAAAAGCAGGGAGCAACAGTTTCTTTTAACTCTGAGAGACACACACAGATTCAGAGGTTTGCTGTGGACTTAGTCACCCAGCAGTGTCTCCCTTTCCATGTCAACTTCCTCTGTGGTTGCAGTAGACAAGCAGAGCAGCCCTGCAGGAAGAAACAGCAGGCATGAGTGGAGGAACTTCTCACACAGGCTTTGGAGCATTGCCAGTCACTGTGCCAGTTAGGCTGAGGGACAAGAAAGGCTCCTCCAGGCTGCTGTTATCAGTCTCCCATATTCACAACACTGAATGATTGCCCTGTGATTTCCATGTTCATCCCAACAATCCATGCTACTCCAGAGCAGAGTGGTGCTGAAGTCCAGCTGACCTTCAGAGAGCCCATGGCAGCGCTGCCAGACGCTGTGCTCATAAAGGATTTATTTATGGCAAAGGAATCCAGTTTCTGAGGTCACCGTGGAGACTTACCCAAAGCATTTATCACTTGGATAATGCAGGCCTCAGAACAACACAGGTGCAATGAGCTCAGACTCTGGGAAGGCTGGAAAACTGATACCTATGGAATAAAATCTGTATGCTGTTTTCATCATAGTTCTCTGGGAAACTGATGTTTGGGTCCAACAAAGGGGTTTACAACATTTTAAGCACCAAATCTTTTTTTCCCTAGTTACCAAAAGCTGTGGTGGTGGGCAGGAAATTCAGGTTCTCCAGATGCTAGAGACCTAAATCCATAGGCTCAGAATTAATAGGGGCAAAGGGCTACATTAGATGTGGATTGCTTAAGGGAGTTTGCTAAGGAAAAAACTAACAGTAGAGGATTATGCTGAGGGATATTCCTCATTGCACCAGGAAAGATATCCCTGAACAATGGCTTACCCAGCTTGTAATTCTAGTAATTATAAACTATTATAAATTATAAATATAAATTATAAATTATAAGTTATTAGAAAGCAGGAAGCAAAGGCTGGGATAAGGTACTATTGGCAAACCTACTTTTTGAGAACAATAATACAGCTTTTTGGAAGATAATGTCTCTCTTTTTTCCCCTGTGCAGTTGCAAAAGAAAGGTATTTAATCCTTCTAAAAACAAGTATGAATGTGTTTTGCTTCCAGAGGCTCCAAAATATGTCTGCATCAAAGCAATGTGGAGACATTTGCAAATGAAGTCTCCTTTGAGAGACTTCATTCAAAGAGCTACTTTGATACTCATAAGAAACCATAGCCTTGGACTTTGTCTCAGAGAACTAGACTGACCTTTTAGCAACTGATGATAGCTCTGAAATGACTTCTCATCAGTGAAAGCCCAATCTAGCATCACTTAAAATAAATTAAAAGCTATTGCTGGCTGCTGCAGATATTGGATTTAGACCATATAAAACCCAGTTGAATGCTGGGAACCCAAGGAAATTATCATGGTAAATCTAAATTCTAGTGAAGCTTTACAGGCTTCAAAATATATCTCTGTAGCCCCATTAAGAATGGGTTTCCACTTAGCTCATGTATAATTCACTTTTTTTCTTCTTTTGATAGTACCCCATGAACTAAGCCAGCACAAAGCCCACCATTCCAGCCTCCTTTTTGTTCACAGCAGATCCAGAGCATGTTTCTGTTGAAAGAACAGTCCAGAGAGTAAACACCTGAGAATAGACACTGCTTCCCTTCAAAATATCTCTTCTGATTTCCTGCTGTCCCCACAGAGCTAGGAACAGCTCCTCCCAACATTTTTTCATCTCCCCATTTCCAGTCACCCTGGGCCACGGCAACAGTGTGACTTCTAAAATGACCAGGATCTGGAAAGACTGACTTACCTTTAGGAGTTGGTCCTCATACACAACTTTGTCTATATCCTCCTGCTAATTTTTTAAGCACTTGATCTTCATTTCAGAAGGACAAAAGCTTGTTGCAGAACAAACCAGCTAGCTGGGATAGCCCCACAGCTGTTTCCATGGGAGAAATTTTTGCTGTTAAACTAAAAAAGAGATGAAGAGTGGTGGCCAGTTCTCCTCAGGAATCTCTGCTAGCCACAAGAGGAATGGATATCATACAGATTACTCCTTCAAACCACTTATCATTGCATCCTTTGTTCCAAATGCACTGCCTTTAACGTGACCTCAAATTACACATCTCCCAGCCACATTCACCTTCAATCCTCTCTCTTTCTTCCCTCAGTGAAGGACCATCTTAGAAGACAAATTCTGCTTCTACCAGAAACATCTACTGGGAACATTTCAGGTCTCCTAAAACCAGATGTAACTACAGAAGAACCATTATTTCCCATCATCCTTTTAAACCTCCCTCCCTGCAGACACCCTGACAACCAACATCCAGCTTCCCAGCCCAGACTGACATTACTACTCCGATCCTGCTGGTTCCCCAAGTTTTTTTCATCCTGGTTCAGCCCCAATTCACCGTATTTGTAAACTCTCTAGAATGTTCTCCCTTTCGTCAATCGCCATTGGCCCCAGTTTGCTGCAATCCTACACCCCTGTTTTCCTATTGGTTGTTCCTGTCCCTAACCCCGCCTCTGCACCATTTTTCCCTTCTCCCATTGGCCCTTGACCCTCAAAGCTGCCCCTGTTTCCTGCTGTATAATCCTGGACCCTCAAACCAAGTTTATGTTGGTCCCTGGACCGCTTCAAAGAATAAGCCCTTTCAGATTACCAAAGAAAGACCTGTCCCTCGTCTGTCTAAAGATTTTCCTGTGCACTCCAGGCTGAAGAAGCACTGGTTGCTCTCAGGCCATGTTGTTGCACAATGCAACAGTTCTGATGTTGCCAAACTGCTGGCCAGTGAAGACAGCATCCAGCAGTGAAGAGAAGATGGGCAGCTATAGGAACTGAAGCCTACAACCCTGAGATTATGCTGTGAGATGTGTGGCTAAGGGATTCCTGAGGGCGTGAAGACTGTGGGGGGATAGTTTATCAGATGAAGGCCAGGTGACCCTCACCACTGCAAGAGGTGGAAGGGGAGTGATGCTAAGGTGTCATGGTTCTGTTCCACCCTTGTGCAAGATCCACAGACTTTGTGATCGCCCTCTGTTACTCTTGATAGCCCTCATTTACAGACAAAGTGGCTGCCCCACCACTTATGACAGCAGGAAGAGAAGATTTCACTATGGTCTCACCTTCCCCCAAAAGTATAGTGATACCATTTGGTCTTTACAGAGAAGGATATTCAGCTGGATGGGGAAAGTTCAAGTCCAGTCCAAAAATATGTGAGGCCAGGCTTTCCTGTGTTATGCCCCTGCCTTCAATTACCCACAGGTGGTCCTGGATCAAATGGGTCTGAGGGGAAGGACCTTACCCATTTCTTGATGTGTTTAGATATTGTCTAGTGCTACCCCTAATACTTCCTTAAATTAATTTTTTAGTTGGCCTGAAGAGGCTTTTATAAGTCAAATAACCCTGGAAAAAATATTATGGGCAGTATGGCAGAACAGGAGAAAAAAATCCATAGTTGAGAACAGTAATAAATGCACCATCTGTGACCAGGCACAGAGAACGTGTAGGATGCACTGAGCAGTCATTACATACATGTTTAATTCTCACATAAAGACAGGAGTTCCCTGAACGACAAAGCCCTAATTTCCTACCAATTTACATCCCCTATCTCTGCCTGATACTGCAGTAGTACCAGCTCCTTCCTGCACTGTGATTCTCTAAGAAACCACATCACAGCAGTGTAGCAATGTACAACACAACTCAATGCTGGCCCTTACAGGAGGGTATGGTGATTGGCATTAAAATAAAACTAATTTTGCTCACTCAGGAGTACAATGAAATGTATCAGTATTTTGTGGAAGAGGCAGAACCTCTCCCAGACAGAGGGAGATGTCTTAAAACATGATTTATTATTCTTCTTCTACAGTCTCATGAAGTTGTAAGAACATCTTCACCATATTCACCAGATGTTCTTGGTCAGTGGTCACAAGAACAGGTTACAGGGATTTTTAAAGGTTAATTAGCCAATAAACATCTGTCACAAAAGAATGTTTCTACTTTCACACCAATAGCTAATTATTTTGTTTTATACATCTTTGCCGCAGTGTGGACTTTCCTAACCAATCGCATAACGGCACACAAAACCATTTTTTATACCTCAAACTTCTTATTACCTTTTTAACTGCTTCTATATCTTAATTTTAAAATCTTAAAACTTTCCACTACCTAGCTTAATGTCTTTTCTACCTAAATTCACATTCTTACTTATGATTCTAAATCTGGAAGCCTTCTCCAAGGTCTTAAATAAAACCCTGTGTTCATGTCTGTGAGCTTGCATACACGAGATTTTGAGAGCTTTCTGTGCTTGGAATTCCCACAACGAGTGCCCCTGTGTTTCCATTCAGCACTGAGGCAGTAACCCATGTGTGTCCAGGCAGTCTGCATGATTCCATGCAGCGGCACAGAGGAGAGATACTGGAAAAGCTGTCCTCGCTGCCTGAGCATGCATTTCTATCCCTCCCTCTACCCACCTTTCCTGTACCCCACCCCTGAAGTCTCCTGTCCTACCTCTCAATGTCTTTCTCATCCACCTGGTTATGTCTGTGCGCCTGCCCTGCAGCTCTAATTCCTCAGGATAGCAGGTCAGAGCTCAGGTCAAGGGGGTGAGGATATCAGCTTACTTGGAGCAAAAGCAGAGGTGAAGGAAGGCCCTGGCAAGCAACTTTGGACTTTAAGGACAAAGAAGCTTTTCATGCCCAGATAAAAAGAATCACATGGGAAAGTCAAAACCAGGCATCTACAAAGCTTTCCTCTCTCTTTCCCATGAGCCCAGCTTGTTTCTTCTAAATGCAGTCTCTGCTCAGCAATTCCTTTCTTACTGTGACTTTACAGCAAGGTAGGGATTTGTCTCCCTGCAAGTAGTGTCACTACCAAAGCTGCCTCCCAGCACCTCCTGGCCCTGGGGCATCCCACTGCTGTTCTCCTGCGTCACCCTGAGTGCTCCAATGACCAAAGCACAGCAATGAGGCAACCTCTGACCACAAGTACAGCAGACATGTTCAGCTGCTGCCTTCCTGCAGTGATGCTACAGAAGAGGGACAGGCACAAATCAGGCAAGTAGAGAAGCAAAGACTGGGCTGCATGAGGAGCAGCACTGACTTCATACATTTCATAGACTCACAGAATGTTTTGGATTGTAAAAGACATTTAAATATAATCTAATTTCAACATTCCTGTCATGGGCAGGGGACCCTTCTATTAGACTTAATTGATCTAAGCCCCATTTAACCTGACTTTGAACACTTAAAAGGTTGAGACAGCCACAGTTTCTCTAGGCAACCTCTTCAGAGTTCCACGGTAGAGGATTTATTCATCATGTCCAATCTAAATCTACACTCTTTCATTTTAAAGCCATTGTCCCTTATCTTTGCACTAAAATTTTCTCTGTCTTTCTTATAAGCCCTCTTTAAGTTTGGAAAGCTTCAGAAAGGAAGAAGCCTTCTTTTCCTCAGGCTGAGCAGCCCCAACTGTCTTAGCCCATCTCCACAGCAAAGGTGCTCCAGCTCTCTGATCATCTTTGTGACCTGTTTTGTACTCAGTCTAATAGGTCCATATGTTTCTAGAGCAGATGAGCGCAGAGCTGGATGCTCAGGTGAGGTCTCACAAGAACAGGTAGCAGAATCCTTCCCTCACCCTGCTGTCCCCACTGCTTTGCATGCAGTCCAGAATACAACTGGCTTTCTGGGTTGCAAGTGCACTTTGCTGGGTCATGTCCAGTTTTAAGCCCAACTCTATTGCCAAGTCATTCCCTGCAGGGCTGGAGACCCTGATGGCTGCTCCTCACCATCCACCCAGAAGAGCTGGAAGGACAGAGGGGCATAAGCCTCAAAAAGAAACAGGAGAAAAGGTTTATTCGTCAGCAAGAGTTGCAGAGCAGACCCAAGTCCTACGCCTCTTATCAGGAAAAGCGAGGAATGTCGAGGGGCTATGGTCCCTGAGAAAAAGCCAGGGGGACGGGAGAGTAGCTGAAGGTCCCCGAGAACCACCCCACGCCATCTCCAGACCGGGCTCCGCTGAGGTGGTCCCAGAGATCAGCAGGATCCCCTACCCCCGCCACGGGGATCCCTTGTGTTCCACCAGGGGATCCCTCTCGCGGCCACGGAGCATCCTTCCCCCACTCGTGGGGATCCCATCCCCACGTGTCCCGTTAGGAGCCGACACCCAATAAGGGGAACTACATTTCCCAGGGCGGCTTGCGCCCGAACGGCGGAATAGGTGGGCCGAGCCGCGCATTCTGTTCCGATTGGCTGGCCAGGGGCAGCCCGAGCGGCCATTGGCTGGGTGGGAGGTCACGTGGGGCGGCGGGAGTCAGGCCGACTCACGTGGGACTGTGCGGAGCGGGCCGGGAGCGGAGCGGGAGCCGGGAACAGGGAGCGGCCGGCCGGG